CACATCGAAGAGTATACGTTGCATAACTATTTATGTTAGGATATAAATACACCGGATGTAGACGAGAAAGACATACATCAAAGAAGAACACTGACGTAAAACGATGTATCAGAATGATGGATTGAATCGCAACTATAAATACTGTAGGAGTCATATGTTAAAAGCTTTTGAATGGTGGATAATATCGGATTGCTATATAATTAAACAATAAAAATTGTATTTTTATAATCCATGTCCATTACAAGATATATTCGTAACAACATTACAGAATATTACTTTAATTGTTCCTTTATTTTAAAAAATATATGAAAGTTCTGATCGTGATTTTCGCACGTTTCATCGATGTCAAGTCATACACTTCATATTATTTTACTTGTATAAAAAAATAGATGTATATTAAAATGTGAGTTTTTTACTAGAAATATCACGCGAGAATCGAATCGCGATTAATCGTCACCGGAGTGTAAAAAAAAAGAGGTAGCGTCTCTCTTGCCTAAAAGGAAACGTACCGGCATTCTGTTGTTGCGTTGTTTCCTCGACGACGGTGACTTTTCCGGATTGCGTGTGACTTTGAAACTTCGATGATGTCGAGTAGAAACTAAATCGGACGCCGCGCGTCGCGACGCTATATGGCATCATCCCCTCCGCCGATACTTAAGTGCTTTTGGCTTGTTGCCTAGTTTTTGGGTGGGTATCCCACACCCCCGCTCGTAACCAGATTTTGACACTGCGGCCCTATTTACAGGATGACCCTAAATTAAATTACGATTCGCGTTTGGACAGATCCGCGGGAAAACTATCTTGGCATTGCAGACGCATTGTATCTTATATTGTATTTTGTAACAGGCACTAAAAGCCGGACGAAAACAAAACAGTGACAGACGGAAATTCCGGTAAGAAGGGAAAAATAAAAATCAAATAAATGACTTTATTCGTAATTTCCAGACAATACAAATGTCATGTGTGTGAGATTTGTTAGAAATATGAATATGAATAAATTTACACTAAAAAAATGTTCTAAATTTTAATAAATATTTGTACAGTACTAACTAAATATTTATTAAATGTAAACATATATTTATTTGGTACAAGAACAATTAATTTGATTTAAGATGACTAATTTGATCATTTCTTTTATTAAATAAATTTGTTAATTATAAATATTCAATAGTTAGTACTATTTAAAGAAATATTGATTAAAATGTAATAAATTTTTTTTAATGTATCTATAAAATTAATTAAGAGATCAATATGTGTGTAAGTATGTAAATGTATTTTTTTCCACTTATGAAGGCTACTTTTAGCGGAATTTCGTGATTTAACAAGTTAGAAAGTTTTCTTACTGACAGCTGCATGACATCTGTGTGATGTCTCATTCTATTTTTAGTATATATACACGGCGTGTTCTATGAATCGCGCTAATCTTAAATATTCGAGCGCCTTAGCGTTAATTGAGAGATAAATAGTTTAAAATGCATAAAAAGGTTCAGTTCAGCGACTCGCAAACTTATAGAGCTTGTATTACGGTATTCGATATTCGAGTCATTCGCACATTAGCTGTGAGACTTATTCTCTCTTGCGCTACAATCAATAACGTGTTTAAAGAGCGACAGAAAGAGGACGAAAAATATAGTCTTAAAAATATTTGAATTTCATTTTTCACTTTAAAAAGTGACGTTAAGATGTTTTCGGGGACATCAGTTTATTGTTTAATATTGAAATAAATAAAAATAGATAAAAATAGATAAAAATAGATAAAAATAAATAAAAATAGAATATTTACTTTCAATAGGACATTTATTTGCGATTTGTCTAAATAGATGAACAAATAGCGAGATATAACGATAAGCAAACTCTCGAAGCTGCGCATTACGAAAATATCACTTGCAACTTTTAACGAGTTCGTCATCTTATGGAATATATTTCCACGAAACGGAAAAATTCGAACAAGTGGGTGCAATTTGCCGCGTATGTTTAACATACGTGGACGTTCGCCAGATGGAAACGCCGATATGTGAGCGTCATAATTTCTGGACTTCGTCCACTTCGAAGAGTGATGCCACCGCCGAGTTTAGATTTCGTCAATCGTCGCTGTTTCCAAGTAACGCAACGGATCTGCGTAAACGTCTGGAGCGATTTACTGATGCGTCCGTCTGTTCGAAATATTATATAAATGCGATAACAAATGGCACGTCGTCGATAGTTTCTCTCAAAATAAATGATTTGTGTACATCGTGAGACATTTTATAGAAATATATATATCCTTGGATACTGCGATAATAAATGTACAAAACAACAATAGACGTTTGAAAAAAAACTTATAGATATACAAAGTAGAATCATTTTTTATTTTTCACAAATTATTCTCAAATTATTTTGCGGTAATTAAAATAGAACATATTGCATTGAAGTTCTCTCGGGAAAAATGTTTTATATATAATTATATAAAA